ATTACTATCCCCACTTTATAGACAAGAAAATCAAGACTCAGAAAGGTGAAGAATCTTGTCCAAAGCAGCTGGTAAGAGATGTGCTGGGCTTTGAACCTAGCCGGGCCAACTCCAGACTCTGTACAGTAAAAAGGGCTGTTTGAGGTCTGTTTACCGCAACTTGGTGAAGCGCTTTAAGTGTGTTTCACACATTCTTCATTTTTAGAGACTACACTGTTATGGGCTGAATTGCGTCCCCCCAAAATATGTGTTTTAAATCCTAACCTCTATGCCTGTGGTTACAGTCCCATATGGGAATGCGTTATTTTTGTTATGTTAATGAGGCAGGATTAGTGTAGGGTATATCTCGAGTCAATCTCTTCTGAGATATAAAATAGATCAAACAAGCAAGCAGAGCAGAGATGGGAGAAGAGAGAGCCGCCAAGCCACGTGAAGGCGCAGAAGCTCAGAAGAGACAAGGACACTCCTCCAGAGCTGACAGAGAAAGAAAGCCTACTGCTAGAGCTGGCAACCTGAATTTGGACTTCTGGCCTCCTAAGCTGTGAGAAAAGGAATACGTTTGTTAAAGCCACCCACTTGTGGGATTTCTGTTATAGCAGCACTAGACAACCAAGGCATAGAATTTAGCCCCAACAGCTGAATAATGTTTTATTTTACCAGATAAATGTTAAAATTTCATTTAAAGGTCATTTTCTTTTAAGAACAGCTCTCTGTGCCAATCACTTAGTTGTTAGGTTGCTTTAACAGTCTCTTAGGTGTGGCAACGAGAGATGAACACAAAAGAGTTCCATAAAATAAAAGAAATTTTATTACTCACAAGTCCTAGAGTTAGGGTCACAGCACTCCTTGAGAGACCACACGGGAAGAAACACACCATGGTGGGCTCAACCAAGCAGGAGGGGAACCAGAGAGACAACCTGTGGGCTGAGGCCTTTATTGGGGTTCTCAAAGAGTGGAAGTGATTGGTCTTTCTGAATGTCACTGGGTTAGCAGGGCATGAAATGAGGAACGAGGCCTTATTACTAGTGTGCACTTGGGTGTAGCTATGAGAGGTGCTTTTTGGTTCCCCTGAGATGCTGGGGGATGTTGAGGCAGCAAAACCTATTTATTTTGGCCTGACTACGTTCTCAAAACATTAACAAGGCTTTAAAACTTTTTTACTGAGTACCTACTATGCAGTAGTCTCACACGATTAAGTAATTGCACATGACTGAGTAGTTTCACATGATTAAGTAAGCGTTATGGGCCCAATTTAATAGACGAAGAAACTGGGAATAGTTAAGAAAAAGTGTGCTCAAGGTCACAAAGTCAGTAAGCTGGAAAAGATTCAAACCTAGGTCCAAGTGATTCCAAAGCCCAGCTTTTTCAACCACATCACATGCTATACAGTAAACCCAAAATGCCAAGTAATTTTAATTCTAATGCTTAGCCTAAAAATGATTTCACTCTATGACAGTTAACAGAAATAATAGTTTTTGTTTAAAAATGGAAATAACATATATTTATACAGAAATGTTTCTCTTAAATCTAATGTTTGATTTTTACCCATGTATCTTTATAAATATCTTTTATCTCCTAGTAGCTTTCCTAGGTGTTAAAGCCTAATATTCTGTGATGAAAATTTACAGTTCACTAAGGCAAGCTGAGACATGACCATTATTCTGTAATCTTTTAGTACTCACCTTGGTTAAATTAGAGGCACAAACCTATCAGATGACATAAAATACTGAATGAGTCCAGAATAATATAATTTGCTACATTTAACCTTTGTTTTTTAACAGACTATCTCCAAGCTCAGACTTCCAATACATGACACTCAGAAGTAATGGTTAGATTGTCATTTGCTGAAAAACTACTAAACATGCTTACTTGAACAGTTTCAGTTTCTACAAAACTGTTGAGATTGAATTTTTTCAGCCAAAGCAGTATCATTTCAACAAGTGTGCAAGGCATTGTGCCGGGATATCTGTGGGGCATAATGACAACAAAAGAAAGACAGAATTGCCCATGAGTGAAGAGTTGAGGCCTTGAAGTCAGACAGACATGACTTAGTCTTGGCTCCATTACTTATTAGCTGCGAGGCCTTACGCAAGTTATTTAGCCCTTCTAAGCTCAGTTTCCGCATCTGTGAAATGGTTATCGTAATAGTACCTATCTCAAAGGGTTCTGAGGAGTATATTAAATGAGAATAAGGCAATGTGAAGTACTGGCACAAAGGAAGCAATCAATAAATCATAGTAGCTGCTGCTATTATTATTATGTCCTCAAGGAATTTATAATCTTATTGAAGAGCTCATACGGACATGTCCTTTTGGGCACTTTCCGTTCTCTGAGGAATAATTAAGTTAAATCACTCCCTTTTGTTTAATCCATAACTAGCAAAAAGGCAACACACACACATCATATGTAAAAGATATGCTTTAGATTTTTTAAACTATTAATACTCTCTTCTTTCATCAACTCAACTCTATATAGATTCTCTTGTCTTTTATTCAAGAGCTTTTTACTGGGTCATCTAGCTGCACAGATAATACAGCTGGATCCTATTTGTCTGCTCTATACGGTCGCTATGAGTCGGAATCAACTCCATGGCAAAGGTTTATTTATTTATTTATTTTGGTATCATTAACAAGCAATAAAGAATGGATGGTAATCAAAGTGCAAGGAAGGTTTATGAAGAGTTTTTTTTTCTTTGCCTTTGTTTTTAAAGATTCGAAGTTCTAATTTATCATGCAGTCATTTCATATTAATACTACAACACGATAACTTAGAAATTACACGACAATAAAGTTTCCACTTATATTTGAAAGTCTTTACCAGGAATATCTTATAGCACACCTCTCTGCATGCTAACATTAAGAATTTTACTTGATAAAAAGGATAAAACTACAAAATTACCACTCAGTCATAGGCCCATTACTGGTGTCCTGGATTCAATCAAATGCAAAAGTAATTTTAATTAAACAACAATTATAATCACACCAGCATGAGGCCATGCTACTGAATCTAAGAGTCTGACTTCTAAGTGTCGACTTCCTTTCTCTTTCTCTGGTATTTTACACTATCCATATTTAGTGTTTCACTTACTCTGCTTTCCTCAGGGATGCACATGTGCAGACGGCTTTGTCCATTGGCTGAGTGGCCTGTAGGTGCTCTTTACTCGGTACTGCAATCTCTCCCAACTTTCCCAATGATATCTTAAATTCATCACAATTTACACCTTTAAATTAATCACTGCCTTTTCTGTGTTGCCTCTTCTGAAAGCTACAAGTTCCTGGAAGAGTTAAACCCCTAATGCTTAATTTTAAAGGATTTTACAGGCAAAGAATGAGCGCCCTGAAACCAGGTGTTGGGAGGAGGGAGTGATGAAGATGGACAAGAGAAGGTAGAGTAAGAAGGAAGACAAAAAGCTATCGATGACATTTTTACTAATTAACAATTTTGCCTGTGTATCAGTTTCTAGGGAGAAAGATGTGGCAGTCTGCTTCTGTAAAGAATACAGCCTTGGACACTCTGAGGCAGTTCTACTCTGTCCTATAAGGTCACTATGAGAGCCTGAATGGACTCAGGGGCAATGGAATAATCAGTCTCTAAAACCAAACAATAAAATATGTCAGTCTAAAGGGTTAGTGATTAACACTAAGTTTATAGGTTCCATCTCAGTAACTTTTGCAGAAGTTTATCATGTTGGCAAGTAAATGCTTCTTTTACTATTTAAATGAAGACAGGCAAGTAGAATGGTCATTAAGTTTCCATGAATACAACAGGATTTGTTAAGAGGACTGTGACTAGTTTCTGAGAACACATTTCCATTTGAGTTAGTAGGGGGGAAGAGAAGAGGGTTATCAGGAGGTAAGATTTATCACAAGACCAGCCAAAAGGATCTGGATTCCAGGACTCAACCACAGCTTCCTTGGTTCTAGGAGTTAACATCTTTAACACTGAAGCTGGAAACTCTACTCCCATCTCACAATGAAAATTCTTGTACTCTGATTTTTAAATGCCACCAAAGAGTGACATTTATTTGATGTTACATAAATGGAAGGGCATTAAGTAGACTCAGAGTCCATTAATAAAAGGAAGAAGAACAACATTTTAGTGTCATGACATCTTATATAGAAGCTTCAGAAGACAATAAATACTCTTATTTGTATCCTACTTGACATTTTTCAAAGCATTTTCACATTATCATTTCATTTAATCTTCCTCATTATGATATTAATTTACAGATGGAGAGAAAGGTTCAGAGAGGTTAGGAAACTTGCCTAAGGTCACACTTTAAGAAAGTGGCAGACTCTTGGTAGTGAAAACCCCAAGATTCAGATTTAGCACTTTTCCTTATATGCAGTGATTCTTATCACTTTTTTGGGCGGGGGGGCAGTTAGAAACCTCTTTGAGAACCTAACAAGCTCTTATCTAACTCCCCAGCGAAATGCACATTCATGCATTTTGATATAATTTCCAGGGATTCTCAGACCCAGGTTCAGATCCGTGGATTATGGCCTGCTGCTGTGCATCCCAACAGCACCTGAGGGACAGAGTTGGCTCATGCTCTTCTTTAGTTCTCTGTGATATTACGAAAAGAAGGTGAAATGAAAGCTAGTCTATATATACAACACACAGATGCTGAACTAATTTTGCAATTAATTAGGAATACTACATTGGGAAGAGATTGCATGTGCTGTGGTATCGGAGCTGGCTGTGGATCTCGCCTCTAGTACTTTCTTGGGCAAGTTCCTTAATGTACATGAACCTCTGCTTCTTCATCTGAAAAAAGAAGATTATACCTATCTCACAAAGGTGCTATGAGAATCAAATAAGATAATGTATTTAACACACCTAAGCACTATACCTGCCTCTTAGAAGGAACTGGAAAAATCTTAGCTATTAATATAGGACACCGAAAGTGATGTAACGGAAAGAGGCCAACATATGGAAGAAACAGGCTTGCCTTTTAATCACATCTTACTATCTAATAGCTCTGTGACCCTGGAAAAATTATTTAACTTCTTTGAGCCTCAGTTTTGTCATCTGCAAAAGGGGGACTATGTATATATTGTATTAAGTTGTTGTGAGAATATAAATAATGTAAATAAAATATCTAACAGCACCTGGTACACTGTAAGTGCTGTTATTATTATTTGGAAGAGGATTAATAATAATGAGTGCTACAATCCGGAGCCTGGTGGCGCAGTGATTAAGAGCTCGGCTGCTGATCAAAAAGTTGGCAGCTAATTCACCAGCCGCTCCTTGGAAACCCTATGGGGCAGTTCTACTCTGTCTTACAGGGTTGCTATGAGCCAGAACTGACTCGACGGCAACAGATTTGATTTTTGGTTTGGGATACAATCTAAAAGGAAGAACTAATATCTTTTATGGAAGTATGGCACCACTGTTTTTTCCTTTTCATGGTCATGTCTAAATCTTAAAATTGATCAGAAGTCTTCATCTTCAAGGCTGACGGTGTGGTATATGAAATTTTCACTATTTTTGCAGAGACCTCACTAGCCCAGATCACAAAAGTCCTAAGACTCTCCTAAGACATTCATAAATGTCACCCAACAAGAGTAAAACAATGAGTCTAATATTTATGCAAACATAAATTAGATTATAAAGACATGTAACTACAAAAAATGTCACAAACACTGTTGCTCAGAGTTTTAAATATCATCCTTGAGTAATTACGATACATTCTGTTTTATTATACTCCTTTAACTTCCTTGAAATACTCCTTGGTTTTGGAGAATCTCAAAGAAAAAAACAACAACGTACAGGTGAAAAAAAAGTATAAAAAATTTAAATTCATAATTGAAATAAATTAGTAATTATTCATATTCATAAGGAATCACTATAGAATGTTTTTAAACAATCTGTTCTCAGGAGGCATCTAAAAGTATACAATGAAAAAAAAAAAGGTCTCAATTTTCATATAAGTTTCATCCACTGCATAAAGCAAAGCACACCTATGGTAGGTGGGATTGTCAGACTTTAATTATGAAAGAGGGAAATAATTATGACTTTTGCACATCTAAAAGATTTCTAAGGAAATAAAATTTAACATTCAATACCTTAAAAAGCAGAGAAAAGAAAAACAACGATAAATGTTACACTGTATTTACTCTGAGATCATACTCTCAGCAACTCAATCACCTGTACTGTAACTGACAACCCTAAAAAGGGAAAGGACTTCTGAGCCCCTAAAGAGATAACTCAAAATACTCTACTTATACAAGATTCCTTACTGTCAATTTACTCTGACTTTATTCACAGCTCTAGCCAAGCTTGGCTCTTTTTCCAGTTCACAGAAGATTAGATAGAGGAAGCAAACTTGACTGGAAAAGGTAGTAGTTATAGATGTACAAAATAATGTTATTCTAAAGTTATACTCATTAGCTAAGGGGGAAAAAAGACTATTAAAAGACAGATCAGGGCCATTCAGCAAAGGAGCACAAAAACTCTATGTACCAGATGTACCACATAATGGTACAAAACTGACCTACCAGATGATGATTTGGTTTCTAATTTACATAACAAGTGCTACTTGGGAAAGAAGACATATACGTAATTGATTTTATTTCTGTTTTTTTTTAAAAAGATTAAAATAAAATATTTTATGCTTAAAGTCATAAAGCTTCAGAAACCCTGAGAATCTGTTTATTGTATTCCAAATGATGTTTGCTAATAAAACACTATTTGTCTTTCCATCCCACCTCCCCAATCATATTTATTAAAATAAATGTAATGAAAGTCTCATCTCTAATGGTTTACAAAGTTTCCCTATGTCCAACTCAATCGTTATATTAGGTTCCCTTTTCCCAACGATCCGCTCAACTTCTAAGACTGAAATATAACAACCCTGGGCAGTTAGGTTATCGCTAGCCAGCAAGATAAGAAATTTCCAAACTCTCATTGTTCATGTTCTTAGTGAGAAAACTGATTGGGTGATGATTCTTTGTAGGTGAATTTTTTTAGCTGCTAGTTCAGAGCCAGCACTGGCATGTCTACCTCATAAAGTAGTGAATGATGTGCAAATGCTTTGGACAAGTTATCTAACCCTTGTTTACATATATGCACTGTAAACAGATAAGCTTGGTATTCCCAACTGTAACAAATGTATATATTTTAAAATACTACTTACCTCATCGCTTTCAGGCTGTGAAAACACAATTGGCTGGCCTGTATCTGAAGTTTCCCTTATGTTAAGGTGTAAGGGAATGTCTCCTAAAAGAGCCCACCAGATATCCATTAGTACCAGAAAAGTTCACATAGGCATTTGGAATTTTACTATTTAAACTTTAGAAAGAAACAAAATCTGAAGCTAAGTAAATTCAAATCAACTTGAGTTCCGACTATCCTCAAATTGCTAAATCTCTGAAAAAGAGATTTCAGATGAAAACTACGGGCAAAATATTCCAGCTGACGGGCGGAGGGCTCTGGGGACCATGGTCTCGGGGAACATCTAGCTCAATTGGCATGACACAGCTTATAAAGACAATGCTCTACATTCTACCTTG